AAGAGCATTGTGAACTGTGGACAGCCCCTTCATTCTAGGACAGCTGCTGGGAGAAGATGCTCTGTGAGCCCGAACAGTGTCCTCCCCTGCAGGGTGAGGGAAGAGCTGCAGGACAGGCCCAGAACCCACTCAACACAGATGTCAGCCCTGGACCTGGTGCAGAGAGTCAGAGAGAAAGGGTTATCCAGCACCTGAATTACACTTATTTCAAAACAAAAATGCAATTAAAAATTTTAAATGAGTAATTAATATCCAGGCACAGTGGCTTACACCTATAATCTACGAGAAAATTTGAGAGGCTGAGGGTGGAAGATTACTTAAACCAGGGAGTTCGACATCAGCCTGTGAAACATAGTGAGGCATCATCTTTATTTTTGAAAATAAAAGTAAAATAAAACATAAACAATTTAACAAAAACTACCATTGTGTCTTTCCATATCCTGTCAAACTTTGGGCATTTACCTAGCCCAATGAGTCAATGAGAACCAAATTTGAAAAGAAAATTTGGGGTTTTCATATCTTTATAGTTAGAAGATGTAGAAGAAAAATAATTTTATCAATTCAATATGTGCAAATATTGAGAGAGACAGACTCATGCAGAATTCTTCTAGGGGGCAAAAACCCAAAAGGAGTTGAGGAGTCATGTTCCATTTGAAGGTGAGATCATTTTGAGAGGCATGTCCTGTGAGAGTTTGTTTGTGTGTTAGAGAGTTGTACTCATGAAGTTCTGGACGTGCCAGGGGGACAAATATCCAGTAAACGAACATCAGAACTCGAACCTCAGCTTCCCACTGTTGCATTCTCCATGTGTCATCTCTATATTATTTCTCATGCTAAGATCCAGGTCTTTGGCTTGGAAATATTCTGCCTAATTAACATGTAAGTAGCTTGAAGTCTACTGAGTTAAAAACATTTATTTTCTCCTGTTTTCCCAGTTGTTTCCACCTAACAGTAGTATATTCTCACCATTATCATCACCTCCTAGATCTGCTGCCATGCCCTGCAAATTAAGGATTGGATTTCATGACAGAGTGGAGGTGCATCTCGATGGAACCTTGCTGAGAACCTTGGTTTTCATCCCATTCCTGTAGAGCTCCACCAGCACCTCTGGAGTAATGGTTTCAGTGTCTTGCCCTGCAGGCTGAGGCAATACCTTAGTTCTGTAGTGCTGATGAGGGAGGTGGGTCTGAATGCATTTCAGAAGTTTGGGCTCTCCTCTCTGCTAGACAGACACTTTAGGAAAGGAAGATTTTTCTGACTGTCCCCATTCTAGAGACAAAGGGATTCAGCAGGATAAGAATGCTGGTCAAAAGAAAATCTTCAGCTTAATTAAATTTAAATGAGAGTTTAATTGAGCAATGGATGATTCATGAATCAGGCAGCAGAATTAGCAGATTCAAAGAGACTTTAGTTCAGCCACGTGGCTGAAGAAGATTTATAGATTTAAAAAATGATGTACAGAAACTAGAAATGAGGTACAGGAACTGCTGGATTTGCTACAGTTTGGCATTTGCCTTCAACACAAGCAGTTTGCCCACTCAAGAGTGTATGAGGGTTAAAGGCCAACCCTTAGCTGCAGGAGTTAAGCCAAACACCAACTAGTGTTACAGGTGCATACTCCTATATTAGGTTTTCAGTGTTGTCATCCTATTCAGATAGGTTACAGTTTGTCCACCAAGACTCAAACACAGAAGTATGGAGTCTACTCAGGCCATATTTAATTCACTTTATCAGTGCCCTTCAGTATGTGGTTCCTGAGAATTTCACACTACAGCACGTTTACCACCCTGGAATTTAAATGACCCGATACATGTTTTAGCTTTAGAATTGTAATAGACTCTATTTCATATAGCAGCCTCTGCCTCAGTTTAGCTAACACCATGGCTTTGTTTCTCTCTATAAGAACTTGTTTCCCCCAAGATTTCCATGTTTGTGAAAGGAACATAAATTTTTGGGTTGAGTCACTAAGCCAAAGGAAAAGTCAAGTTGGAAACTTTGCAGGGACACCACCTTCCATTCTTTCCCTAAATGATAGCTGCTAAGGTTTTTAAAAGCTACACATTTCCTTTGAAATCTGACTGCAAGGAAAATCTTTGTGGACCAAGGACAATCAGCATCATTTCTCTGCTCATGTAAGTCAAATGCATATCTGATCGCTATCTGTGCTCTATTGTTTCGCTAAGGCAGACTAAGGTCTCCATGACTCTTCCTGTAAATTGTGCATTCAGTTAAAGGCTAATCAGAAACTCAAAAGAATGCAACCATTTCTCTCATACCTACCTATGATCTGGACGCTCTCTCCCCACTTCAAATTGTCCTGCCTTTCTCAGCCAAACCAATGTGCATCTTACATATATTGATGAATGTCTATAAAATCAAGCTGTGCTAACCTTAGGCCACATATCATCAGGACTCCCTGAGGTGGTGTCTGAGCATGTCTGTCTTGGAAAACTGAACTTCCTAAATCTATCAAGGTTTGTCATGGATACTCCTTGGTTTACAGGATTGTTTTTCTATCTCATACTTCAATTATCTGAAACATTAAAAAAGAATATTTGCCAAACAGCACAATTCTGTATTTAATCTGTTATTGTTGCTGTAAAAGGAAATATGTTTATATAATTTATAATCTATGTACATTACTTAGCTGAGTACTTGAACTTATTATTAAGACATAGAGTAATAAAAAATTCAGGTATCAATTAGCAACTTAATAGAAGCACAAATTATGCTAAATTTGTTTGCTGAAATGCTACCCATTATTTATAAGAAATAAACACACACACTGTATTCTTATAAATTCCTGAGAAAATAAAAAACTAAATAAAGAAATATGAGAACATCAGTAGTTTTATAAAGAAATAGTAGGAGAAGGGAAGAAGAAAAAACAAAAAATATATAAAAGAGCAAGAGTAGGCCAGGCGCAGAGGCTCATGCCTGTAATCCCAGCACTTTGGGAGGCTGAGGCAGGTGGATCATGAGGTCAGGAGATCAAGACCATCTTGGGTAACACAGTGAACCCCCCGTCTCTACAAATAAAATGCAAAAAAAAAAAAAAAAAAAAATTAGCCCCGTGTGGTGGCGGGCGCCTGTAGTCCCAGCTACTATGGAAGCTGAGGCAGGAGAATGGCAGGAACCCAGGAGGCGGACCTTGCAGTGAGCTGAGATGGCACCACTGCATTCCAGCATGGCCCACAGAGCAAGACTCCCTCTCAAAAAACAAACAAGTAAAAAAAACAAGAGGAATGCTGAGGGGAGCTGACTTGTCACCTTCTTGAAAACAGAGATTTTTTTTCAACTTTTACTATTTTACAGGTTAAATATGTGAATTTTTATTATCTGTCAATTAAAACATAAAATTTATTTCAAGTAAACAACTACAGTTAGACAAAAGGAATGACAGGCAGGGAACAAATAAATATGTTAAATGTCAGGTATACTTAAACATTTATCTGTCTGAACCTTTTCTCTGTATTTTTGAAGTAAATGCAACTTAACCAAAATCACATAGGTTCTCATGACAGAAAGCAGATTATCACCAAAACACTAGGCACATTTAGCTCTGTTCCTAGGGAAAGCTGGATAAGAGGAAACAATAAGGCCAGCTGTGAGGCACATAGGCCCAGATACTAGGACTCACTCATGCCAGTTAAAAGCCCTTAGACACATACAGAGCCCCTCCACGTGTGGGTTCACTTTTATATCTGTGAATGAAGAAACCACTGACTCTAAATAACATGAATTTATACATAGTTAAACATAACTAAAAAATGTGATAGTCGTTCAATGTTTATCACAGAACAGATTTCACAGCTATTAGTGATGGTGGGGTAGCACACTATGCAGGCTCGTGAAGGGGGCAGATTCACCATCTCAGAGAGAGTGTCAAAAAGGCCACTGTATCTTCAAATAAACAGTCTGAGAGCTGAGACACGGCTTTCTATTACCGTGCGAAAGGCACACAGTGAGGGGAAGTCAGTGTGAGCCCATACAGAAACCTCCCTGCAGCACATTTTCCCCAAATACAATCACTGTCATTAAAAAATCCTGAGGACACTCACATCTGTTCTGGGCCTACCCTTGCCATGAACGTCCCAACCCAGATCTTGCTATATAGTAGGAGATGTGCAAATAGATGCCTCCCTCTTCTGATGAAAATCAGTCCAGCACGAAACCCTGCTGCTCTGGGGAGAGAGCCCCAGCCTTGGGATTGCTGGTGTTTTCATTTGGTGATCAGCACTGAGCCACAGAGGACCCACCGTGGGTTTAGGCTGAGCTGGGTTTCTTGTTACTATATTAAAGGTGATTCATGGAGAACTAGAGATATTGGGTGTGAGGGACATAAGTAAGAGAAACAGTGGATATGTGTGGCAGTTTCTGATCTTTGTGTCTCTGTGTTTGCAGGTGTCCAGTGTAGGGTGCACCTGGTGGAGTCTGAGGAGGCTTGGTACAGCCTGGGAGGTCCCTGAGACTCTCCTGTGTGCAGCCTCTGGAGGATTCACCTTTAGTAACTACTACTTGAGTTGGGTGACCAGACTCTGGGGAAGGAGCTGGAGTGGAGTCTCAGCTAATGAATGATGGTGGGGTAGCACACACTATGCAAACTCCATGAAAGGCAGATTCACCATCTCCAGAGAGAGAATGTCAAGGAACGCACTATATCTTCAAATGAACAGTCAGAGCTGAGGACCACGGCTTTCCTATTACCGTGTAGAAAGGCATGCAGTGAGGGAAGCCAGTGTGAGTTCATACAGAAACACTCCTGCAGGAACATTGCGGGGGAAATCCAGCTCTGGGGGTGCTCGGACCCGGTGATCAGAGTCAACCCAGAGCAGGTGCACACAGAGGCTGATTTCCTGTCAGGATGTGTGAGACTTCATCTTCTTCTTCAGCTTCTCTAGTGAACCTCTCTAAGTTTGGAATTCTGTGCCTAATAATGTCATCTCTACATATTTTTAAAATGGTATTTTAATATGATAATCTATTCTCATATGCACAAAATGCAGATGGATGCTTACAGAGATGAAAAGTCCTGTAGCTTGATCCACCAGGATCAGAGTCCTGAGAAACTCTGGGGGTGCCTGGTGAGTCTTCTCCAATCAGACTCAGGACAGGAACTTCGGAAAGATTCCCTGACTAGAACAGTCTTTAGGGATTCTGATTACAACAATGAGAGGGGGGCTGGAGCTAGTGTCAGTGTCATGTAGAACCTCACAGGTTTCCTGTCTCATCCTTCTCCTGCTGATACTAAAGTATGCAAATCAGAACCAGCACTAATCTGGTGATCCTTTTGCCTGCAATCCATGTTTTGTTTTGTTTTATTTCTTTTTAGTTGTTGTTCTTGCCTTTTCGTTGGCTTTTCCTGTTCCCTGAAAAATAAAATGTGGTTTCTGTGGTCTAAATTCCAGGGCTTAAGCTCTTTTCCTGGAGCTCAGATGGGTCTCAAGCTGTGGCTCCTTACGCTTACGATGGGGAGACTAGTGAGACTATCTTCACTCCTGCTCAGGACCCTACACTTTGTTGTGTTTAGACGCATCTGGGAATGCAAATGACCAATGGGAACTACCTGCAGGGGGATAAGCCTGCTTGGTCAACATGAGACGTGGATGTGGAATTGATCCTGTGCTCTGCAAACTGTCTGGTGAGTCGCCTTCTTCAACGGTAGTGTTACAAAATGGGTGTCAAAGTTGTCAGAATCAAAATGGAGCCACTAGTATTAAAACCCTGATGAATGAAGCTGGAGAAGGCCATGAGGGAGGGTTCTCACATTCATCCCTGATAACAAGATCTATGGTAAATAGACTGCAAAACCACAACCTTGCACAAAGGCCACTGCAACCACAAAATAATTACTTCTCCAAGTACATCTGCCCAGCAACTGCCTATCCAACCTTACACTGATGTCACCCTTGTTGTTCATCCTTCTAGCCTGGAATAATTGTCTCAAAACTACTCATCCAACCCTCCTCATTTTTATTTCAAAATCCTTGTCTTCCTTTACGTACCTGAATGCAACCTTGCATATTCCCATTGTGATGACCATCCTCAAATGATCATTACTTTATTTTGGGGAATCTCTTTATGTCTGTTTTTTAGGTTTAACAAGCTACAGATGGACATACCACTTTTCTGAGATGTAGAGGATGACAGTTTAGGGGATGTCTGAGTTCCACAATGTCCTAAGATAAGTCATGTGAGAAAGTGCAGGCTGGAAGACTCAGCAGAGAGAGCTGAGTATGAATCACCTGTGGAATTTCACCTACTCCAGTTTCTGCTCACAATGGAATCAAGCCCACCGAGGTTATCAGCTGACAATTTACCTAACCAGAGGCAACTGACAACACTTTTAATAACATTTATAAAGGATATTTACAACACCCCTAGGTTCCTGTTGGATTGGATAACTGTAAGGTACAGCCTACCATAAAACATATAATTGCCCATGGAGAACGAACTTTAACATGAGATCTACATTTTTTTTATTTTATTTTTTATTATTATTATACTTTAAGTTCTAGGGTACATGTGCATAACGTGCAGGTTTGTTACATATGTATACTTGTGCCATGTTGGTGTGCTGCACCCATCAACTCGTCAGCACCCATCAACTCGTCATTTTACATCAGGTATAACTCCCAATGCAATCCCTCCCCGCTCCCCCTCCCCATGATAGGCCCCGGTGTGTGATGTTCCCCTTCCCGGAGTCAAGTGATCTCATTGTTCAGTTCCCACCAATGAGTGAGAACATGCGGTGTTTGGTTTTCTGTTCTTGTGATAGTTTGCTAAGAATGATGGTTTCCAGCCATCCATGTCCCTACAAAGGACACAAAAGCATCCTTTTTATCAGCTGCATAGTATTCCATGGTGTATATGTGCCACATTTTCTTAATCCAGTCTGTGGACATTTGGGTTGATTCCAAGTCTTTGCTATTGTGAATAGTGCCGCAATAAACATACGTGTGCATGTGTCTTTATAGCAGCAACGGCAGCAAAAGCCAAAATTGACAAATGGGATCTCATTAAATTAAAGAGCTTCTGCACAACCAAAAACTACCATCAGAGTGAACAGGCAACCTACAGAATGGGGAAAATTTTTGCAATCTACTCATCTGACAAAGGGCTAATATCCAGAACCTACAAAACTCAAACAAATTTACAAGAAAAAAACAAACAACCCCATCCAAAAAGTGGGCAAAGGATATGAACAGACATTTCTCAAAAGACATTCATACAGCCAACAGACACATGAAAAAATGCTCATAATCACTGGCCATCAGAGAAATGCAAATCAAAACCACAATGAGATACCATCTCCACCAGTTAGAATGGTGATCATTAAAAAGTCAGGAAACAACAGGTGCTGGAGAGGGTGTGGAGAAATAGGAACACTTTTACACTGTTGGTGGGACTGTAAACTAGTTCAACCATTATGGAAAACAGTATGGCGATTCCTCAAGGATCTAGAACTAGATGTACCATGTAGTAGCCCAGCCATTCCATTACTGGGTATATACCCAGAGATCTACATTCTTAAAAACAATTTTAGTGTAAAACAGAACAGTTTTTAATTAGGCTATTATAATTTTGCTAATGAGTTTTAAAATTAACATCTATATTTTGGATATTCACAATTTTTCAGATGCATGACTCATAACTATATTCTCCCATTCTGTAGGTTGTTCTGTAGGAATTTTTTCCTTGCTTTGCAGGACCTTTCTATTTTGATGCTGTCCCACTTGTTCAATTCTGCTTTTGTTTTCTCTGCTTTTAATGTAAAATCTAGAAAAATCTGTTCTGAACTTTTTTTTTGCAGGAGAAAAAATTGCTACAATTGCAGGCCATTCATTTAACATTTTAACTAATTTAGAATTGCTTTTTGTATTAATTCTAACCTAAAATTATTAATTCTTTGCATGTGTACATCCAGTTTTTCTAACGCCCTCTTTGGGATGGACTATGATTCAGCCATTGTATATTGTTGGTTTTCATGTTGAAATTGAACTTGTCATGAAGATACCAGTTTATTTCTGAGCTCTCTATATGCATTTATGTCAATACCATCTGTTGTTCATACTCAATTTTTGTAATTAATTTTGAAACTTAGAACTGAGATGACTCCACGTTTATTATTGCCTTGATGCAGATATTGGGACAAAGTATTTTAATATTTCACTATTAAGTAGGATGATAGCTATGGATTTTTGTAATGACTTTATTATTACAAGTTATTTTTACAGTATTACTAGTTTGTTTAGAAACATTTTATGATGAAATTTGCATTTTAAAAATGGAATTTTCAGTGTCTGGTGAAGTTAATAGGATTTTTTCTTTTATTCTCTTAATGTGGCATGTCAAATTTATTGATTTGCTGACATTGAATTAGCGGTACACTTCAAAAGTAAATTTGAGTTGGTATTGGTGTACGATTCTTTTAAAGTCTTGTGGAATTTAGTTGACTATTATTGTGCAGGTGGTTTATTTATTTATATTAGGAATATTGGTCTATAGTTTATTTTTCTGCTTCTGCCCTTGTTGATTACTGGTAATATGATAATCGTAGCCTTACAAAAAGCATTTGAAAGGTTGGTGGCACACCAATTTTAAGAAGAAGAATGGCTGATGCTACATTTTTTCATATTGTGATGTATTTTTTTATCTAACATATAACCTATCATGGAGAATATTTAATCTGTGCTTGGGAAGCATGCATATTATGCTGCTGTTGGTTGAAATGATCTGTGAATGTCTCTTAGGTTACTTTGATGAATGGTGTTGTTCAAGTGCACTGGCTTCTTAAGAATTTTTTTTCTGGATGTTCTACACTTTGTGAAAGTAAGGTGTTGAAGTCTTCTATTTTATTATTGTTTCCTATTTATTTCTTTATAACTCTTAAAGTTTGCTTAATACAGTCATATTTCTATTTGTATAATACAAATATGTTAAAAAATACAAATTGCTTAGTAATTTTAATAGCACAGTCACATAATAAGAAATTATATTGTCCCAAATTCTGCCGTTGCCTCTCAACTCCTCCAGGAGTCTCACATCTGCTCTGGGCCTGCTGTCTCTTTGGGTGTCCCACCCCAGAGCTTGCTAAAGAGAGAGACCAGCGAGAGGCCTTCCCGCATCTCTGATGAAAAGCTTGAGCCCAGCTCATTTTTCTGTAGCTGAAAGAAGAGCCAGCCCGATTCCCAGGTGCTTCCACTTGTTGATCAGAGTGAACACAGGGGGTTTGAGCTAGCTGGGTTTTCCTTGTCCACTATTTTTTTTAAAAGGTGATAGTACGTGGACACTTGAGAGGGATATTGAGTATGAATGGACCTGAATGACAAAAGAGTGGATATGTGGCAGCTTCTGATCACAGTGTCTCTTTGATTACAGGTGTGCAGTGTGAGTTGCTGCTGTTGAGTCTGAAACTTGGTACAGCCTGCGAGGTCCTGAGACTCTCCTGTGCAGCCTCTGGATCCACCTTCAGTAGTTACTGGATCAGCTGAATCAGCCCAGGCTCAGGGAAGGGCTTCAGTGAGTAATAGATGTAAAGCACAAAGAGAGAGGAAACATACTAAGTAGACTCTGGGAGGGCAGATTCACTATCTCCAGAAACAATGCCAAGAACTCACCATATCTGCAAATGAACAGTCCTGAAGGCCAAGTACTTGGCCCTGTATTGTGTGTGAAAGGTACCAAGGGAAGGGACATCAGTGTGAGCCCAGACACAACTTTCCTGTAGGGAGAAAAGAAGGAGCTGCAGGGGAATTCAGCACCCAAATAAGATAGGGACAGTTCCAGGCTCAGGTGAAGATGAACTGTTTTTGGGAAGTCTGTGATTTCTCTGTGAGTCTAACAGTTCTCCTGGGATCCTCTCTTTATTTGTGGTTCTGCTCTACCATTGAGATTTCTGGGTTAAAACTTTGGTATTATAGAAGTAAATATTCTCACATGTAGCAAAGGCAGTTTTAACTAATGGTAAATATTCTCACATGTAGCAAAGGCAGTTTTAACTAATGGAGGCAGAAAAATGCACAGGAGGCCGGGTGAGGCTGTAGACACTGTCAGCCTGCAGTGCCAATCTTACAACTAGTGA